CATTTAACATTTATAATTTTTCTCTAATTCTTTACTTTTTGCTTCCTTCTTGTTGGCTCTGTCTGACTGAAAGTGTTCGCATCAAATCAGACCGTCATTTAAAAACATAAAATGTGGTAAATGCATTTTATCATATCTTCAGATCTACTTGGCCTAACAACACAATTTAAAAACTGGTTTAAAGTTCGAAGTCTCTACTTTTTACTCGAGAGTCTCAGAGGGCGGATCTTTACAGGTATTTTTTTTTCTTCCTAAACTTTATTTAGGTCAGCCAGCATTGACAACGCTCTGCGGGTGACGTAAACAGCAAAGAAGAATCTCTTTCAAAATAGTCCCTGAGTTGTGCATCTGTAACTCTTCTGTAGGTTTCACAAGTCAAAAATTACAGAAAATGGGAAACAACCTCGGAAGGGTTTGGCGACCACTGAAACCAAATTAGAAAAAAGAACACACTGTGATCCAATTAAGACATGGTTGATATATCATTAAGATACACTGACTAAATTTCCATGTCATTCGTCGCAAATATGTCAAAAGTACCAAGTCATTTGTATATATATTTTTTTCATAATTTTGTGGTCACAAACAGTAATACCCAAGTAAAAAACAGACTTTACTGGTCTTTAGCTTGAGTTTGTTATTGCATTTTCAAAATTGCCAAACTTGAGTTTTTATGCCTTCATGTCCTTTTATGTCCAGGACCTGTGGAGAAGCATGTGATGACTCACGCAAGGCAGACAGCTTCCCTCAGCCGAAACCCCAGTAGTGCTGAGTGCTGTGAAAGCAACCGTCCTTGGCCTCATGGTGGTGCTATGGGTAGCGACTGGACTGAGCGTACATTACGGTTTGGCAGGACAAAGAAGATAAGTGGGATCCTTAAACAAGGAAAGGYCATGACTAAGAGGATGAACAAGAAGAGAGAGAGAGTCAAAAGGTCAGACAAAAGCAGAAAGTTGAACCCCAAGCCAGAGAAGAAACGAGACCGGAAGTTGTACCCGTTGCGAGGGAGGGCTGGGAATTCAGAAGGGGAAGGGTTGAGCTGCCATGTTCTTCTTACCCGCTTGGAAGAAAACTTGCGTAAAAAAAGGTTGAAACAAAGGGAGGGCAAAGTTTGCCTCAAATCTAAAACAGGGAAATGCAGAGAAAGAAAACAGTCAAAGTCATTAGCAAAAACCAAATCAAAGGCAAAATGCTCAAGTTTTGCTGAGTGTACTGGACTCGGAGGTCTACAACCACGCAAACGCAGACTGGCCTCTCTCAATGCTGAAGCAGTGAACAGTCTGCTGCTTGAAAGACCCACTGATGCCCAACCTGCTGCCAAACAGACCAAGAGACAGGAAGAGTCTGCAGATGGAGGGGTTTCTCCAGATCCAGGCAGAAGTACCATCACTGGAGGTCCGAAAGCTTCTCGAGAGACTGTTAGTAAAACCTCTACATCTGACAAGTTTAATCCGTGCCAAAGCTCTAAGCTGAGCAAGAAAGTTAAGCGAGGTGATGAAAGCATTTGGATGAGCCAGGAATGTTTGGATGCCCCTGCACCCAGACGGTTAGCTGGACTCAATGCTGCAGCTCTGCTAAAGTTAACTAGTTCCTCTGCTACTAGTAAACAGAGAGCAAAGGCTACACCCTCGGCAGCTATCGCTTCAGACTGTGCGGCTCCGGCTGCAGTCTCAACTCCAAAGCAGCACCACAGGGTCAAACTCCACCACAAGGGACATTTACAAACTCGGAAAGACAAAAAAGTCCCTCTGCCGCCCAGTGACTGCACAGCCTGTAAGAAGAAGGTTGATTTTGAGCCCAAGGTAGAGTGGGAGACGGGCAACTGCACACAGCACCTGACCAAGCCAGGCTATCAGTCTCGTAGCATGCTAGCCTATCCACTGAAGCAAGTGAAGGAGGAGCAACTGGAGACTGAACTGAGCCCATACTACTGCTGTCCTCCCGATGGATCCATGGAATACTGCCACCGCTTGGCCTACTTCCTTGGTCAGCAGCCCTACAGTGACTCAGAAGACACATCACTTAAATCAGCCATGACCCCCGTGAAGCCCGAGTGCCTAGTAACCTCACCGTCACTGGCACATCCCCACCCCCACACAGCCCTCACCCTCAGCCCCCACGCGTGCCTGTGCACCGCCGACCACTGCTTCTCCAGCTACTATGTCCACATCGCCCACCCGACACACACTGGAACAAACTCAGCAACCATAACCACACGACCTCTCAACTTCACCTCCCCTAGTTTGTGCCCCAACCCTATCGGTGGCTCCAAGCTGCTGGGTCAGCAGGTGACCCATCCCTCGGGGTTAGCCCACCCCACCTACTGCAACTCGGTGGCTTCGCACTGCTACGGAGACGCCTGCGGGATCGGCGGCTACGCCTTCAGAGCGATGCCTCCGGTCACGAGCAGGGGTTGTTCCTTCAGTGCAGGATGTGCTGGATGTACACACGGCATCAAAACCGGTGAGTGGGAAATGATAAACCTCTTAATTTGGTCTTTGAAATAAAGTTCTGTTAAGTAGTAATCATAAAGGAAAACTGCTTTTTACAATTTATAAATGTGACTTCTCTTCTCCAGAGTCTTACTCCTCCTCTCAGGGGACTCACAGCCCTTCCCTTCTGGTTCCCCCCACCATGCCAATCTCCAGCTGCCCTTTATCTAGCGTGCCCACCTCCACACAGACTAAAACCCACCTACTGAGTCCCCTGTCTGAGCGGGATCAACCCCAGGCCAGGTTAAAGCTAAAGAAATGCCCACAGAGCACCAAGGTCTCCAACAGCTCCCTGTCCACGAGCCGCATTCAGCTACTGACGAAGCAGGTGTCGCCTGTACCCAACTTGAGCAACAGCAAACGGAAGAAAGTCAGCCGCCGCCGCGCCACCAACGGCTGGAGGCCTGTTGGGACCCCCACAGAGAGGGAGGTCTTTGTCGCGGTAAGAAATTTGTAACAACTTTGTAAAGTAAAGATAAGCAATCTATATATATTTATATTTGGTCTTCAGTAGGCTAATGTTTGCATTTATACAGCTGCCTAGCTTGTAGATAAAAAATAACAATTTTAAGATCATATCTGCCACATCTAAAGTTATCAAACAATCTGTGACACAGCAGATAACCAGTTTTCTGGATAGACATCTCTTTCTTCATCCATTACAGTTTGTGTTCTGCTCAATAAATACAAGAGAGCTGTCTGCAGGTTATCTGACAGAAAATAAAGTGATAATCTCTAGATTAACTAGATGTAGTTGGAGCTATACTCTTAGAGATAAAAAAAAAAGAGGAAGTGAATTTTGCAACGCGTCTACGTAAACTTAAAAAGCTAACATTCCTCTCCTGTTTGAGGATGAAGTTTAATTTATTTTTACTTGTTAAAGCATTATTCTCAAGTCATGTAAGCCACTCGGTTTTTAAAAAGAGGTGATGATGATTATCACAGAGCAGAAATATCATTTTCAGAAATGGTCTCAGTGAAGAATAAAACGTTAAGACCCAAACACGGTGGTAAAATTAAATCAGCTCCTGCTAATAAAAAGACTCAATATTGCTGCCAAAAAGCAGTTTGTGCATTTGATTTTCATACTGATTGAACTGTATTATAACAAGACAAATATACTCTTTGCAGGGTACTGTGGTAATATTGATCTTGTATTTTTGTTTTATGGGTTTTTGTGCAGAGGTTGAACTTTATTGTTTTAAAAAGACAATAGCGCATTTTCTTTATCTTGTATTTAATACCTAAGGCTGATAGAGCAATCTGTTTTTTACTCTTTTAGAAATGTGTGGTTCTSAATTGTTCTTAAAAAGCAAAGCAGAGACAAAAAAGACTGTACTAAAAACTGTATTAAATTTAACTGAAGAATTTCTGTATATAGCCTGTTTTTTCCTGAATTTGTTTTGGTCATAATAGTTTTTTTTTTCAATCTGTACCCGTGTTTGTACGCCTCCATCCCAGGGCGAGGATGAGGCGGCCGTGCGGCAGTGTTATGAAGGAGTCGAGCGGGACGGCGAGGTCATACATGTGAGAGACACCGTGCTGTTGCGGTCTGGCCCCAGGAAGAAATCGCTCCCATATGTTGCCAAGATATCAGCCCTCTGGGAGGACCCCAAAACAGGTAAACCAAAGTAGGAGTGAAACGGTGGATTTTCTGCATGAACGGATGGCTGAAAGGACATATGGAAAGAGGGTCGTTTAGCTTTCTGTCTGTCTGTCTTCCTCAGGAGAGCTGATGATGAGCCTTTTTTGGTACTACAGACCTGAGCACACTCAGGGAGGCCGAGATCCCAGCGCACACTGTGAGGTGAGGCTTGAATGGACTGCAGCTAAGAATTAATTTTTCCCAGTGGGTAAATGGCAGCTGTGCAGGCTTCAGTAACAGCACTTAAAACAGCCTGTGAGTGTGACAAATACACATCGAAACAGTATCTTATGATATAAATCTTAAAAGCTGCTGTCGTACACGGCGCTGTGCTAAAATAATGTACGAGGAGGAGGTGTATTAAACTGCTTGTTTGTGCAAAAATAATGTCAGCACCGACAGTTGCTGGAGACATCATTATCTTTCCTCCAGCAGCCTTGAAACTGTTGATAGTCGTTTCGCTCCTCCGTCTAACAGCAATGCCAGAAAAGATGGTATCTCTCCGACCTCAGCCTTGCAGAAAACAATAGCTGGGAGAGAAAGAGTTAAACTGTCAGAACATTCAGGTGCATTTTCAGTGAGTGGTTCATAAAGTTTAAAAAAAGAAAAAGGAGGCACAATTACATCCCACAGCAGCAGTTTTAGTTCCCTCTCGGTCGGAGAGAGTTGCAGTTTCTTCAGAGATCGTTCGGCACTGAAGGAACCACTTGTACCGATGATGTGACGCTGTAACACCCACTGTTTGGTTGCAGAATGAGATTTTCGCCTCTCGGCATCAGGATGAAAATAGTGTGGCCTGCATCGAAGACAGATGCTATGTTCTCCCACTTGCCCAGTACTGTAGGTGAGTAAAGGCACACAGAAACAGAGAGTTTGTCAGCACAGACTTTTCAGGATACAGACATAGGAAAAAAAAAACTCAACTTGGATTTTATGTATCAGGACCTAGTAAAAATAGATCCTCAAGGGTGCAAAAACACAAAACTGATTCATGTATGTCAAAACAGAGTTGAAATGGAAAAGCTGTACACAGTACAGAATATATTTTAAAATAGAAAGTAAACACAGCATAGCAGCACAAACAACTGTGGTGGAGGGTTGATGATATGGGCTTGTTCTGCAGCCATAGGACCTTCCAGTCACTGAGTCGAACATGAACTCCTCTGTGGACCAAAGGATTCTAGAGTCAAATGTAAATTTATATCAAGGTTCCTGCAGATCCTTAAAAAGCTTTAAAAGTCATTGAATTCATCAATCCAAAAATAAGGCCTTAATTAGCCTTAAAATGTCTTAAATCAATCTTTCAGAAGTCTTAAAAATGTTAACACATTGTAAATAGGATGATTGTAATTCATCTCAAATATTAAAATAATTGGTAACATTTATTTATATTTTTAATACTTGCATGCAGACATGCCCCTTTGATATCACTTCCTGTTATTTCATAACTGTTCATCTGAACAATGTGAAATTTGTTTTGTAATATGTTAATAATTTTATCTTTCCAAAAATGCATTCATATTTCTTACAAACATTTTACATCACAGGCACTTTAAGGTTTCATCTACTGCAAATTAGGGTTAGACCCCACTGTGGGTCCTAAAACTCCAAATTTTGGGTTGTTAGAGAATTTCCAGAAATTAAATTAAGTTTAAAAGTCACTGCTAAGAAAATTTCTGCTATAGTTATATATGGATAAAAACAATTGGTCTATTAGCAATTTTTGAATACTTCAACCAAAAATACTTTGATTCATGAGTTTCTGCCACAGTTTTTATTTATTTTTTTTGTCATTTATGTTTACTATGAAATGGGTCTAAAATTTAATTTCACTTGGCATTAAAAAGTTTTAAAAAGTCTTAAATTTAACTTTCCTTAAACTGTAGGAACCCTGTATATATTGATGTTTTAGTTTTTAAACTACAGCAAATTAAAGATGCTCAAGGTAGTGAGAAATTAGGTGGTATTGCCCTTTAGCCATTTCCTTTGTGGCTGAGCAATGGCAAACTGATAGTGAATGAATAATAACTTGATGGTATCTGTTGTGTGTTTTAGTACACATTACATTTAAAAAAGTTTAAAACCTGGGAAAAAGATTTTTTTTATTGTGTCCTGATACGCAAATCCTTAAAACAAAACATACTCTCTTCTTTTGTATATTCTGTTCATGTTTTACTGTTTTTATATCTCTTGGTAACAATTTTGCATAAAAACTAGGCCAGAAAAAGTTTTCTATCTAGATAATTTGTGTCGTCTTTTAATTGCCTCCCCAGATTTTGTGCCTTGGCAAAGCGGCGTGCCGAAGGCGCCCCACCTGGCGGGGCCAGCATGGTGCCCTTCCGCCCTGACTTCGCCCCCCCCTCCCACCGCTGTGTGCCCACAGACGTCGACCCCGACTTGGTGTACCTCTGCCGGCACGTCTACGACTTCCGTTACGGACGCATCTTGAAAAATCTGCAGTAGAGAAGCGGAAAAGGCCGTCGCACATTTTGAAATAATTGTCGCGTAGTTCCGCCTCCTGCACAGAGGAGGGGCACTTGAAGGACAGAACACCCCCTTCAAGCCCGAGGGAGGAGGGGGACGGGGGTTGGTTTAGGCAAATGTATGGACAGAATACGAAGCACAGATCCCTTTAAAAGGGGGTTGTAATGCATGAATGGTAACGCATCTCAGTCAGAGCACCGGTGTTGGCTGGGAAAGCTAACAAGACAAACTTCATTCATCCGATTTTTCATGCTTAGTGGCGTCAAAGCTTCTGTCAGGGTTTCCTCTGAAGCGTCTTAGCACAACAATCCTGTTTGTTCCATTTGCAAGCCGCAGCCTCACCAATCATCCGGGGCTAAGGTGCTGTCAGGGAACATCGTTCTCCACCAGCTGGAGTGGAAGGCTATAATGAAGTGTCGTCTCATTTCCCCTGATTGGAGGGCGTCGCCCTCGAGGTTAAACGACTAATCGTGAGAACGAGTCGCGGCTTTTTTAGGAGGCTTTTATGCAATCAAACCTGACACGCAGATTTAGATGAAGTCTCTTTTTGTTCCCTCCCCTGACGTCTACAGAAACAGCTTTGTTTCAACTGATGCTCGACACAGAACTCAAACACTTCACCCTGAAGAGGTTTTGTGTGACAGATCATTCCGTTCTACGCTTCAGTTTAGGGCAAAACTTTCTATTCAGTCGTCTTTTATCTCAGAAGCAGCTCTGATAAGACGGCGTGTTGTCATCCATTGTTTCCAGGCTCTTTTCTTTTTTTCTGAATATTTATCATATTTACTGTAACTTAATATTTGACTGACAGGGAGAGCTGGGTACGGCTCGCAAACTAAGAGTCTGATTAGCTGATGACAGAAACAATGGGCCTCATGCAAGAACCGTTCGTACRCACAGATTTGTTCTTAAGTTGTGCGTACGAGTGATTTAGGAGAATTTGTGGCATTCACCAATGTTTTCGTATTCTAAGATTTTCTTCAGATACGAACAAAATTCACGAGTGGTCCAGACCTGTCGTATATTTTACGAGCAGTCAGTCTGCTGTTATCCAGATGGATTTTCTTCATTAATAACTTTATATTTAATTAGTTTGAAGATATTTCGAGTTGAAAATAAATCACACTCCATAATTATGTTGAAAATAGGCTGTTCTGTTTGAATTAGAGTTATAATTTTAGATGTAATAATGTAGACTAACGGCAAAAAATTGTTAAATTAAATTACATTGGCTAATAATGCTGTTATATAATACTACAATATTAATATGAAGTTAATTGGAGTTTGGAGATGTTTGAAAATGTTTTTTTTTTTTCAGAAACGCATTCGACACTTGCGGCAGGGGGGATTGGGGTGGGGGGTAGCGGCGCGACTGCTCTTCTTCTGAATAAATGAAAAGGGCTAACATAGTTGTTTACACTTGAATTAAAAATATTTGACCAAAGGAAAACTAGAGTAGGGCTAGAGAGAGATGATTTAGATTTTTATTTCTGTGACTGTATAAACGACCCACAGGAGACAGCACATTAACAGCACATTTCATTCCTTTAAGCAGCTCCTTTAGTTCCACAGCTGACGCTGCTAAAAATGACATGAGCAGAACTTCAATCTCAGAACTCGTAAAGTTCTTCTTTTTACTTTTCGCTGTCATTTTCATGAATGGACACTTCCTTGTACTGAGGCAGGAAACATAGCCTTATATGGTGTTTTTGGGGTGGTAATTATGCTAATCTCTCTGCGTGCACGAGCAGCTGGATACGAACAGGTGGAATTCATCGTGTTTATGCAGCTCATTTACACACTTTTCCTGAAGATAGAAGAGTTTGTTGAATCTGATGTGACATGTTCGTACGAACCCTTCGTATGAACCAAAGTAAAAGAAATTTAGGATAAGAATACGAACATGTTCTTGCATGTGGCCCAGTGGTTAATGTATTGACTGTTGGAAAGCTATAGAAACCACTTATCACAATAGTTCATAGGAAAGATATTTAATTTACTATCAATTATAACAAAAATGTTTTTTAGCCTTTTTTTTAAATATGAGGCAAAATGCTTTGATTTTCGCCACATTTAAGCTGAGTAAAAGTCCATTCAGTCCTTTCTGATTCCACAACTAGATCAACTTTTATTTCCTGTCCTGTCGAGACGAACCAAAAGACACGACACGCGCCAGAACTCTCATCCCCTCCCTCACACTTCTGCCGCCCCTCGTCAGCCCTTGTTCTCACTGCACTAATCAACACAATCTTTCTGAAATRTATCAGCAGGATGCGAGTGGTCGGGGTTACTGTACATCATTCCTTTGTACTTGTAGAAGGAAACATTAACGGCTGCTTTATAACTGTAAAAACCTGCGACCAGTAGGAGTCAGCCAGCATGCGTGTCATGTGACCTGACGCCCAGCTTGCTCTGAATGGATAATATATATAGAACTAGAGTCATTCCTCTTTGTTTGTAACCAGCTTCAACACGCTTCTGTGGACATGACGATATATATTTCTGTGCGTTAATGTGATTTAGGTTTGCAGAGGACATCAGGATGGAGTCCTGACCTGCTGTGCAGACAAACGTAGCACTGTGATAGATGTGGATAGACGGGGGTGGGGCGGGTGGGGTTTGATACTATAAGCTGAGCTGTGGCTGACTTCAAACCACGCTCTTCCTTTTGCCTTTTTAACCTGCAAGTGTTTTACTGTCACTCCAGTAGTGTCGGAATGTGTGAGTGTGTTATGTTAGGAACAAAAAAAATAATTTCTGAGGAGTACCCGATCGTTTTCCTACGCAACAAACGCCCCTTTTTAGTGACCTTTAACAAAGTTTTTCACACACACACTCAAAGCCATCTGGAACTTTCCCTCTTATTTGTGCAGCGTAACCCAAACGAAACAAAATCCTGACAATTCCCCCCGAGATTCGTCAAAGATATCATATATATTATCCTTCTTCAGAATATTTTATTATCTCAATTTCCTAAGATGGCATATGCAATATATTTTTTAGAAATTCTATTTTTGAAAACGAGCTCAACAAATCAAATGGAGAATATGCATTATTGTTTTTTTCTTTTTTTTTGCATTAATTTCAGATTATTAAAAACAAACTTGTGACAGTGTTTTAAATGACATTTGACCAAATGAAATGGAAAATAATCTAAAGTGTACATATCTGAATCCAGGAAGCACCGGGCACTCTTTAAACAAGCAAACAGCCAATGCACAGTGTAGTATATTTGCAAGATCTCTAAGAAATATATTTAACAGAAGACAAAATAAATATTATTTAAATGGAGAAAACTAGAAGATGTCTGTTTTTAATTTATTTGGAAACACTTTATGGAATCGATGAGCCTTTATCCTGCGTATTTTTGCTCCAGGATAGAAATAGTTTAGAATAGTGGTTTATTTGTAACGTTAGGGTCAATGAGGTTGATGACAGAAATGTAAATTATTATTATTATTATTATTATAGTGATGTTAAGGGGTGAAGACGAGACCAGAGTTCACACCAACCAACAGAAGAACGGAGCAGATTTCCCACTTTGAGGCTTAAAAAGGCAGCTGACCCGAGGTTTTTTGAAAAAAGGTGGTTGATGTTTAAGATGCTGCCTGGGAGAAAAGCAGCGTCATCACCTGAGTTTTTATTGCTTTACTGTTTTTTAAAAAAAGAGCAAACCTCTTTAAATTACATCCAACAGAGAAGGCTCAATGTATCCAACTGGAGTCTGTTCTTTGAATCTTCAAGGAGTGGACAGATTATTATAATTTTCTTTAAAAACTGAGCATCTGTAAACACCTACAGTGTTCTTGTCTTCACACCCTTTCAACTGTAACACCTGTTGTCACGTAACAACCGAAAACAAAAGGATTTTATGTAGCAGACCAACCTTTACCCTCTTCTGATGCCTGTGTGCAGCAGTCTGTGTTAGAGGTGGGGTTTCACATTTATAGCTTCTGTGTAGTGCTGGGCGGTATGACCGACATTTAATATCACAATATTTTATGTAATCTGGGGGTGCAATCGTGAAGGAGGAGGGTTGAACAAAGATCATTATCGGGAAAATAATAAATAAAATTAAATTAGATTCCCCCCAAACAGCTTGCCCTGCATTTGTTCAGCGGTACTACAAGGTAAAGGGTTCCCCTTGAAACTGTTTACTAGCAGGCGGGACGCAACGTTCCGAACATGTTCCGGCTATTTAAACTGAAAATTCATACCGTAACTCACACAAAAAACAGTTTTCAAACTGGTATGCTGCCCAGCTCTAAGTCCATCTATGTGCAGTTAAATCAGAGAATAGATGCAGCCGTGGACAGCTTCGGAGGGGTGATGGGGACCAAACAGCATCATGAAGGCCAAGGACCATACCACACAGACATGAACCAGGGTTCCCACGGGTCCTTGAAATCCTTAAAAGTTTGTGAATTTGAAAAAATTATTTCAAGGCCCTGGAAAGTTTGTGAAAACAGCCAAAAATTACACTTGTCCTTGAAAGTCCTTGAATGCTTTTTTGGGGATTGAAGTTTTCTAGTCACATGACTGATTTTCATCATCTTAAAAAAAAATACACACACACACACACACACACACACACAC